ACACCTCCCCCTCACAAGGTCGTCTGCTTACCTCTCTGTCTGCGTCCTCAACCAGCAGTGTGACAATGCCACCTCTCACTTTTCACTTTGTCTGACGATGGGTTGGTGCAACCAGCTCGAAAATTTACGAGTAAAACTCTATTTCCGACGGACTTCCTTCTTTCATCCTATATATATATATATATGCATAATAATATTGCTGGCAAAGAGAAGGGAGACTGGGATAACCATTTCTAGCTTACTAGCAGGCCAGGCGCAGATCACATGGGACCATAACCGGGGATCATTGGTCACTGATGCAACATTCTACCAGGTGTAAAATTTAGGTGATACATATCAAGGGATGGGTGCGTCCGGCCGACGACGGATGATAGGCCAGAAACGACCATCTCAGCCTCCCTTGTCCTTTTCGGTGTTTCGTTTTCAGCATATGCCACTAATCGCAATGTGACTGCTTTCGAGGGCTTCAGATTGAGCTTCAAGACACAGCGGGCGAGCATGTCTCGTAACCTGATTGATGAACGGCACACCATCAAAATATATCACCAACTCACCTAACTCATGAGATGTCGAAATCGGTATTTGCGTTGGTTGTACGGCATATATTTGGTGAGGTTGGTTTTGTTTTTAGAATTGGCTGGAATCACAGAAAGCCCATTTTTAGGGAAAAGTTCATGTTAGGTCTGTTTTATTGAGGGAAAACAGGTCAAGACTGGACAAAATTTGACGCTTCCGGTTATTCACGTAATTTTCTACGTTAATAAACATCCCTTATTAAAGCCTTCTGTTTGCGCACAGTTGTGTCACAAAGGAGCATTCATATAACCAAGAAAAATATCAAGGAAATCCCTTCTGAAACGGAAAGTTTGATTTTGAGTTCACAAAATCTGGTCAGGGAAGGTATTCAAAAACGGATTCTTTCAATGAAATAAAAAGCGATTTGCTCTATACAAATATTATTTAGTAAAATTGCAATTGTAATATCGTCAAACACGATAACAGACCAGTCTGACAGTATTTATTTCACTACACCAGGAATAAGTAGGCGTAAACAAGTATATATAGATTGCGCGCTACATGCTGCCACCTTTCTGTGCCGTGCCATGCAAAAAAGATGTCGAAACAATTCCTATCAGAAGCTGACTTGGAGTGCATTCGAAAATTGGCAGCTGAAGAGCTGCCGCTTGAGTCGTTAGCTAGTATTTTAAACATTAGCCATGTCGCTCTGTGGAAGATTATTAATAATAAAGCAGTGCCTAGAGCTAAGAACGGTGAACCAAAGCGGCCCACAAGTAAGCAAAACGACGATTTCATTCGTTCGACACTGAAAAAGTCTCATTATATGCACTTGTCATTGTTTTATTTGCAAATAATTAGATAAAAGACGAAAGGATTCGATCTCCATCAGAGAAGCGTCACGACAAAGCCATTTTTAAGTATGAGACTTATTAGAGAACGTTTTCGTTTGCTCAAAAATATATTGCTCACAGACTTGCATTTTGAAAGAGCATTTACGTTTGGGATGAGTCCTTATTTTTAGTCAAACCTCCGAAGTCGGTTCAGGTGGTCATATGTGGGAAGGACTTCCCACGAGAGCACACTGTATCGACACCACCTTTCAAGAACTAAAGACGCCTGATAATTTGGCTGGTCATCAAATTAGGAAAGTGACCAACCTGGCGTTCGACAGCAGAGACCATGAATAGCAGGGCGGTCATCGACATTGTAAAGGGTGCCTTTGGTTACAATGGCATTCATCGACGCAAGATGATGCCCCTGTTCACCGCCCAATGGGGCAGGACTCCGATTCATGAGTCGTTAGCTAGTATTTTCAAAATTAGCCAGGTCACTCTCTGGAGAATTATTAATAATAAAACAGTGTCTGGAACTAAGCAAGCTGGGCCAAAACGGTCCACATGCGAGCAAGACGATGATTTCGTTCGACGGACACTGAAAAATACCATTATATGCCCCATATGGCTATTTACAGGGAACACCTGTCAATGTTTTCTTTGCGCATAATTAAAAAAAGAATGAAAGATTTCGGTCGCCATCAGCAAAACGCCATGACAAAGTCATTTTTAGGTAGAAAACTTATTAGAGAACGTTTTTTGTTTGCTCAAAAATATATTAATCACAGACTTCCCTTCTGGAAAGGCACTTACTTTTGTGATTAAGTCTTATTTTTAGACAAGCCTCCGAAGTCGGCCCAGGTGGTCATATGTGGGAAGAACTTTCCACGAGAGCGCACTATGTCGACACCAACTTTCAAGAAGTGTCGACGCCTGATGGTTTGGATGGCCATCAAATTCGGAGAGCGACTGGTCTGGAGTTCAACAGCGAAGACGATAAATAGCAAGGTGTTCATCGGCATCGTAAAGGATGCTTTCGGTTACAACGGCATTCATAGACGTCGAATGGACACTGTAATGTTGCAGGATAATGCCCCTATCCACCGCTCAATCGAGGTATGATTCCAATTAAGCTTACGACTATAATGCAATACTGTAGGGCGCAGCCAGCCTCTCCGCGAGCGGTCTTTGAAGCATTTTTATTCCCGCCAACAGCCCGGACCTGAATCCATTCGAAAATCTGTTTGCACTAACCAGAAGGCATTGGGACAAGGCAAGGAAACATGTTTCTATGGGGCAGAAGTTGGAATTTTTGCCTGATAATTACATTGACCAAACCACCATAGACAACTTGGTAGTCTCCATACCCTCCCGTCTTACAGCAACTTTAAAAGCTAAAGGACAATTAACGAAGTGCTAGTACGTTGTATTTTTTATTGTTTTTCATTTTTTGTCATTTTGTGAAATTTCCCTTCTCTGCTGATAGTTACATTAGACCCTGAATAGTTGGCCTGTCATACAGTCGATTTTTTGACTTGGTGGTTTTTCCTAAAGTAAGTTATTTCTTAGTCAATAAATGATACTTTAAAAGCCAAAATATGCCTTCTTTTGAAGCTCGGTAGTATATGTAATGCAGTATAACTTTCATGGATGCGGGGTGGCCGTATCGTGCGCTACAGTGATTTAGGTTCACAGTTCGTGACTTTTCAGCAGATAGGTCACGAACTGCACCTGAAGAGTAGTCATCTGCTGTGGAATGCGCACATCTCACCTCTGTTGCCCTCCAACACCTGCTGACGAGGCAGGTGGATGGTTCTTTTTCTCTCATCTTCCGTCTCTTCCACCCCCTCTTCTTCTTCGTCTTCCTTCCCTTTTTCTCTCGAAAAAGAATGCATTGGGACAAAGCCAGAAAAAATCTTTAAATGCGGCAAAAGTTGGATTTTATGCTTTATAATTATAAAGAACAGACCATCATAGACACCTTGGTAGTCTCTATGCCTTCCCCGCTTACGCCAACTCTACAGACCAAAGTACAGTTAACAATGTACCACTGTCTTTCGTCATTTTGTCATACGACCTTTTCCTTCCTCACTGACAACTGTATTAGGCCTTAAATAAGTAACCTATCACAAATTAGTTTTTTGCATTGGTGGTTTTCGTAAAATAAATTATTTCTTGGTCAATAAATATTACCGCATAAACAAATCTGTGCTTTCTTTTGAAACTCGGTTGTATCTTTAACGCAGTATAACTTTCGTGGATGCGGGGTAGGCGATTCGTACGCTGCAGCGGTTTTAGTTCGCAGTTCATGACCCTTCATGAGATATACCAGGAACTGTGCATTAACTGTGCTGCGGCGTAATAGATCAACAGCCCATGCCGGTATCCGAGCGGAGCTGATTTGTCAGCACTATGAACAACCACATTTGTGCCTAGAATATGACATGAAAAATAGCTGAAATGCCAAATATCCCCTTTGAGGACACACTGTATTCGCGAAACGTCCGCGAGGAACACATCCTGTAAATCAACATGACGCTCAAAAACTCACGTGTACCTATTCAAGGCTTCACAGAAGAATAGACGGATATCTGGAATCTGACAGGCGGGATCAGGAACCGGCGACCACCTGTTCGCGAACCGCGATGGAACTCCGGTTCGATGACGATGCTGATCGCTTAGTCAAGGTGAACTCGTGGTTCAATCGCACTTTCCCTTCCAATACTAAGCCTGACATGCTTGAATCTAAAAGTCAGCGCTTGGAAGATTGCCAACCAAGGGGGGGGGGGGGGGGG